AATAAAATACAAAACTGTTCTTGAAAAATTTTATCATAAAATGAATCAAATTTATAAAATATTTTACATTATGTTTAATACAAAATAAAGACAATATTTGAAAATTTAATTGCTTTATATAATAATAAACAAATTGTTTTTAAGAAAGATGAATCAAATATACGGATTTAATGTACTATAAGAATATTTATATAAAATTGTGTTATTGTTTAAAAACAATATTAGCCCGAGTTTTGGTATTGAAATAGAGTATGAAATATAACATTCATTCAGAAATGATTAGCATTACATTTGAAGACATTTTATTACTAAACAAAAGGTATCCCACTCATTAAAAATGAAAGAAATTCACTTAATTTTTAAAATCCTCTCTAATTATAATTTGTTCCGTAAAAAGTGACAAATGTTTGCTGAGATCCTCTTTCTATATGTATATAAACCAAACCAAATATTTATTAAAACATATTCACAGAATTTTCTGTTTTTTATAATTTTTATTAAAATTCTCATATATTGTTAATTAGTTGAAAATGTTTGGGAAATTGTATTTCTGTGTTGTGGTCTGTGTTTTAGTAAACGGTATACAAAGTCAGCACAACATTCATGCGTCGGAAAGTGTATCGTCGGCGTCGACATCTTCGTGGCCATACCAGACATCACAACAAAGTACCCAGAGTTCGGGTGGCGGTGAATACCAGCCCCAGTCCCAAATACATCATAGACAGGGCACATCACTGGGCAGTCTACCGATGCTATCGTTTCTACCTCTGCTCATAATGATCGGCGTCGGAGCCCTTCTTATAATTCCCATATTGTTTCTGCTGTTCAATAGTTCCATGGGTTTGGGCGCCGGGTTTATAGGGACGGCACCCTTCGGTAAAAAGCGATCCATCGATGATTCACTTATTAATCAAAATAAGTTGTTTGAAATGCTTTCGGTCTTCACATCAGCGCTCGACAAACAAATCAATAAATATGAAAATAAATCCAATTAATTATACAAATTCTTCATATCAATGTAACTTATGTTCAAAAGTATTTATATTTAGTTAGTATTTATTTTTTATTTAATTCCTTTTCTAATGCTTAACAAACGTTTACAAAAATAAGAAATTTTTTAATAATTTATAATAAATATTTAATTCAATAATTTAAGAATATACAGAATTATCAAATATAAATATTTACTTAATTTTTTATATTTTGTCGATATATATTAACTAATTTATATTTTTATACCGTAATACTATTTATATTGAATTTATTATCATTTATTTTATTAATTATCCAATAAAAATCTTTAAAAATATTTATTGTATTTTATTTTTAAAATTATTATTCTTTTAGATAATAAGTAAACATTGCTTAAAATAATAAAATAATATTAAATATTTTATAATTAATTTGAACGTTTCAAATTAAGTGGAAAATTATTTGCAACTTTAGAGTATTTTGTATTTATTACTTACTATATTAAGTTAATCCGAGTCTAAACTAACTTAAAATAATTTTTTAATTGAAATTGCATTTTACATGAAAATAAATTACACTGGAATAAACTACAAACATTATCAATTTTACAATCTTTATAGTATAAAGTTAATACAGTATAAAGTTCAAATATTATATAAAGATCAGCTTTAAAAATATAAATAGTTTATTTTGAATAGATTTAATATTCAGTGTTATATAACAATTACCCATTTATTAAAATTAAATGATAAACGGAAGTTGTACTTAATGGTAAATGTATAACAATAATAACAAAAAGCTATTTGTTAAGTTTGCAAAATTACTCAGTTAGCACTAATTAACCAATAATTTTCTTTTAATACAGAATAATATAAAATTATATCAAATATGCATACTTCAAGCTTTTTAAAGTTTTAAATGATAGGCTTTCTGTAAAAGTATCTATCTCTAAATACAAATCAATTTATATGAATAATATTGTGAATATCGTATTAAACACTACAATCAACTTATATCACCTATCATATTCCTTCATTAGATTTATTCATTATCTATAGTTTATAATATAACTCATTAATATTATTCATATATTTGTATTTAGAGATAGGATACTCTTACAGAAAGCCTATCAAATATTCAACTTAAATACTATATATAAATGCTATCATTTGAGAAAAAAAATATTTATATGATAATATCATGATAATATTATTGTTATTATTGCCTTAAAATAATTTATTTAAATAAATTTATTAATAATTATTTATACAGTGCAAACAGTATTATAAGTAATATGTGTCAAGATTAGGAGCATTATTAGAATATTTATTTTTAAAATTTATTTAATGTTTATTTATTATTTAAAAATTAATTCAATATTTAAAAGTTATAAATAAGTCTGTTGATTAATATGACTCAATGCATAGAATGTATTTTAAATTAAATATTGTATTATTTGACATTTTGTGTGTCAATAGACTAAAATTTGTGGACACAATAACATGCACTGAACAAAAGAAATATCTTAGAAAAATGCCGAAAATATTATTAACATTGAATTACTTAATTAAATTTGTAGACAATATGTAACAGTTGCTACAGACTTATATTGTTTCAAATTGATGACCGGGAACAACTATACAATAGCTTATCGGTAATGTCTTCCACATTAGGACACATGAATGCTTTATAAACTCTTTTACATTAGGGTTGGGCTCTCTATATATAATCTGATGATAGTTTACTAAATTCTTAACTTCACAGACATTTGATGACAACTCAATATTATTTGAATGTTTTGATTAACAAGTTAGTGTTATGAAAATTATTTTAGTGTTTTCTATAATTCAGTGAAATATATCCATATTATTGATGAAATACTTGGATCAAGAGATTAATCGGTAATATTCTAGTAGTAATTATTGTATTAATTATGAAAATTAAATATTAAAAACGAAAACTATCAGGTTTTACGTAAAGAGTCTATTGATAAATATGGGGTTTTTGATGACATCACTGATAGCAGTCATACTGACTGTGGCCGGACTTCTAACGACACAGAACTGGTCAATGGATAGGTCTATATTCAAAGAGGATCACACCACTCAACTACCACCCCTTCAATCGTCAATATCTCCCATATTATTACACTTAAAGCCATCCTATGATTCATTTAAGAGACGAAACTCCATCTCCCGAGTGGCCCGATATGACGGCCTCTTCGACAGCTATGGCTATGGCGGTGGCCTTTCGGAAAAATCGGACTTTTATTATATTCTTCCCATACTATTGGTTATCGGTTTGGGATCTTTTCTAATCCCAATTATTAGCACATTTTTCACAGCAATTGTCACCTCCAACGGTGCCATCGGTGGTATTGGTGGCTGTTGTGGCCGAAGAAAGCGCCGATATATAAAACCAATGTTTCATATCGAAACCATTTATGACGTCTGGGATACCGTCGAAAAATCCATTGAAAAGTTAACAAATCATTTTGATAATCAATGAGTCAATCAGTATTTATTAATGTTTAAATTTGGATGTTAATTTAATTTTATTTATTTCATATATCGCTGTATAAAACATAATTTTCACATAATTTGTTAAATACACAATTTGTCATTAACTTTATATTTACATTTTTTAAAACCAAACAGAGAAAGATACTTTGAGGATTATAAGTTATATAAGTTATAAAACTATGTGTTGAGGTGAAGACTAAATAATTATTACCGTAATATATAAAACATAAATTTATATTAAGCATGCTAAATCTTCCATATGAATTTCTGTAAATGTGTATTTATAAGTTATATAAGTTATAAAACTATGTGTTGAGGTGAAGACTAAATAATTATTACCGTAATATATAAAACATAAATTTATATTAAGCATGCTAAATCTTCCATATGAATTTCTGTAAATGTGTATTTTAATGTTAACTTATATACAATACCCATATAACTAATTAGGTATGATTCTTCCAACTCATAGCTATTATGTATTCATCTTATCATAGTATTCAAAGTAGTTTTCATTAGTTTAATCAATTCATTTTCAGTTATCATTTCAGAGCTTTGTTTTGCATTAATATTTGATTTTATCTCAAATTAATATTTTTTCAATTACTCATTATGTGTATAAATAAATAATTAATTTTTTATTTAATATTTAAATGATATAAACTATTATTAACATAAAAAATATATTACTTTATATTATTTTATAATTATTGTAGTAATTTACAGTGCAATCAGACGTTAAATTGTTTTTATAGAATTTATAAATATTTTATAAATAAATAAATAAAGTAATTTTAATTATTAGTGCTTATAGTTCATTTTCTAAAATAATAAAGTTTATATTCTGTTTTATTCACAATAAAAAACCAAACAATAATAAAAGAATTTTAAATTTAGCAAATGTTGTGATCCTATATGTCAAGCAAAATATTTATAATTTAAATATCTACTTTACAGAAAATTATATTGTAGTTATTTTCAATAGTTTAGAAATTGGTACAAATCCTTGCAATTAATTATGTTATTTTTATTTGATTAGAAAGTCGTTGATATAGAATTTACTATAATATACTGTTATATAAATTTATTTAGATGTTATATAATATATTTCAATGAATTGTTGAAATTTTCTTTTAGTCAATGTTTTGAAAACTTTCTTCTTTTGTTCTTTGAAAAGAAAATCTTCTCTTTGTATTAATTATAATGAGGACTAAAGTTTATTTTTGTCAGAAATACTTGATAAATACAAATCAGAGCATTACATCTTAATAAGAGTTTCATTGAAACAGTGAATTCATAGTAACAATGAAAATGGTTTGGATTTCATTGCACTTTCGATGAAAACGGATTTGGATTTTATATAAAATGTAATCACAAATACATGTGAGAGACATATAGCTTCAGAAAATACTTTCAAAAAGTAAACTCTTTTAGGACTTTTATCAAAATGTTTGCGACAAAAACAATGTTTTCATTAAGTATTTTATGTGCAATCATTCTGTCCATATGTTCGGCAGAAATCGCAAAATCACAAACGACTTCATCATCAGTTTCAGGTAAAATGCAATTAATTTTATATTTTTAAATTTAATTTATTTGGAAATTTCAAATTATAATTTATATTTTAATTTTTAATTAATATTCATAGACAAGCAAACGAATGGTCGGTCGTATACGAGTTCACCAGCGGATCCAAACAATTATATGAATCAAGTGTTTGCTCACAAACAGCCCATTGATTTGCTTCATATATTGCCGATTGTGTTTATCATAGCACTCATTCCATTGGTTTTACCACTATTTCTGCAATTGTTTGCCGGAATCTTCAATCCTATGAATCCATCCTCCTTTGGAAACTTCAATCCTCACGGAAGGCGTAAGAGAGACATCAACTTTCATCCAAACGAAAACATGAGCCAACTTTTGATGTCTATAATGAAACAAGTTGTCGACTCATTTGACAAATACCATTAA